GAGGAGTGGGAAGATATGGTTGTCAATGGTTATGAGAAGTAGGTAGAGGATATGAGTTAGCGGATGAGCAGGAGTGGAAGGAGGTGGATGCCGTTGATTGTGTTTGAGAGGTGGAGGAGGAGGAGTGGGATGAGGAGTGATAGGAGAAAATGAGGAGTAGGAGGAGGACATGAGGAGTGGGAGGAGGTGGTTGTCAATGGTTGCGAGGAGGAGGTGGAAGACGGCATTTTCGCTGTGCTTCGTCAACTAGCAACCGAGTCGGCAAACTGTAGCGGTGGCGATGGGTGAAGAAGTAGAGGCGGTGGTGGCGGCAATTTTAGAGACTCGGGCGTGGGAGCGAGTAGACAAACGGCTCCGAGTCCTTTCGTCTCAAACCTTCTCCCCGTCGTCGACGTCGACGGCGTAGCCGACGCAGACGACGCGATCACTCGTCCCATCTGTCCATGACCACTTTCTGCTCTCTCCCACCTCTTCGTCTCAGTTGCCTCGGGCCCGTCTCTCGTCGGCGCGTCGCGATGTCGCGTCGACTCGATCGCGACGCATGGCACGATGCTCAAGGCCGTCCCCGTCCCCGTCGTCGACGTTGATGACGCAGTCAATTTGCTGCTCTCCGAGCCGGACCCAAACGCGTCGACTTGCGCCTCGTCCAGCACGAACTTTTCGCGCTCTTCGGCGAAGGCAAGGCGACGAGGCTGACGGCCGGTCGAGTCGCCATCGCCGTCGCCGTCGCCTTCGCCGTTGCGCGATTCTACCGCTTCAGTCTCGCGTGTCTGCGCCGGTTGGTGTCGCCAACCGGTCCATCCGGAGGCCCCGCCCCCCACAGACCCACCAGACCCCACGGACCAACCGGGCCATCCGGTCTCGGGGCCGAAGGCCGACGAGACCAACAGACCGGCGAGCCGGTCCGACGACAATCTCGAGTCGGCCGGCCCGAAGAGGTCGGAATAGCCGCGCTTGTCGGCATCCATCACGTCTCTCGACGCCTCCACGACCTCGCCGTTCGCCCGTCGACTGTCGGAACGCACCATCGTCTCGCCGACGCCGTCGCCGTTGTCGTTGTCG